AAACGCAAAATAATAAATGCTGGGGAGGTTGTGGCGAGACTGGAATACTTATACACTGTTGGTGGGAAAGTAAAATAGTATAACCATTTTGGAAATCGATGTGGTGCTTCCTTAAAAAGCTAAAAATAGAAGTACCATATAATCCAGCAATCCCACTCCTTGGAATATATCCAAGAGAAATAAGAGCCGTCACATGAATAGATATATGCACACCCATGTTCACTGCAGCACTGTTTATGACAGCAAAAAGATGGGAACAACCTAGGTGCCCATCAGCGGACGAATGGATAAACAAATTATGGTATATTCACACAATGGAATACTAGGCAACAATAAAGAACAATGTAAATCCATGAAACATAACATGGAGGAATCTGGAAGGCATTATGCTGAGTGAATTTAGTCAGTCGCAAAAGGACAAATATTGTAGAAGACCACTGTTATAAGAACTCCAGAAAAGGTTTAAACACAGAAGAAAACATTCTTTGATGGTTATGAGGGTGGGGAGGGAGAGGTGTATTCACTAACTAGATAGCAGACAAGAACTGTCTTAGTGAAGGGAAGGACAACACACACTACAGGGGAAGTTAGCACAACTGGACTAAACCAAAAGCTAAGAAGCTTCCTGAATACAACCAAACACTTTGAGGGACAGAGTAGCAGGGGTGCGGGTCTGGGGACCATGCTTTCAGGGGACATCTAGGTCAACAGGCATAACAAGTTTATTAAGAAAATGTTCTGCATCCCACTTTGGTGAGCGGCATCTGGGGTCTTAAAAACTAGTGAGCGGCCATCAAAGATGCATCAATTAGTCCCAACCTACCTGGAGCAAAAGAGACTGAAGGACACCAAAGACATAAGGAAAATATTAGCCCGAGAGACAGAAAGGGTCCCATAAACTGGAGACTTCATCAGCCTGAGACCAGAAGGACTAGATGGTGCACGGCTACCACCAGTGACCGCCCTGACAGGGAACACAACAGAGACTCCCTGACAGAGCAGGAGAAAAGTAAGGTGCAGAACTCAAATTCTAGTAAAAAGACCAGACTTAATGGTTTGACTGAGACTGGAGGGAACCCGGAAGACATGGTCCCCGGACTGTCTGTTAGCCCAAAACTAGAACCATTCCCATGGCCGACTCTTCAGACAAAGATTAGACTGGACTATGGGACATAAAATGATACTTGTGAGGAGTGTGCTTCTTAGCTCAAGTAGATACATGAGACTAAACGGGCAGGTCCTGTACAGAGGCGAGATGAGATGCCAGAGACGGTCAGGAGGTCGTTGAATGGACGTGGGAAATCCACGGTGGAAAGGAGGAGTGTGCTGTTACAGTATAGGGAGAGCAACTAGGGCCACAAAACAATCTGTGTATAAATTTTTGTATGAGAGACTAACTTGAATTGTAAACTTTCACTTAAAGCATCAAAAAAAAAAAAAAAAAAAAAGATTCTCTCAATGGACCTAACTAGGATAAAAAAATCATAACTTCATTCTACTACCGCCAATTCAAATCCAACACCACAGTGTTCTTCCTTACCTTCCATCATTCTGTCTTCATTATCTCCCTTTCACAGTAAGAACCCTAGTTTGAAACATCAATATGCTTTCTCATTTGCTTTTTCCTATAACACATGCATAATAATGTCAAAATTACTACACAATACTCCTCTCAACGGTAAGCAAAGTTAATGATTTGTTTGTACTTCCTGTTGTCCTTAATTAAACTATATCCCATAAGGAGCAGAGTACTGTGTTCCAGTTAAATGAACAAATCCTTTTTTGTCCTGTATGCTTATGCTAGCAATGTGAGATACAGGCAGGTTCATTTGTCTGTAGTAAATTTTAGGCTTTGCTTTTATTTCCATCATTTTTGATTTACTTTTTCGAAAAGGCAAACAGTATTTTAAAAAGTTTACTTAGAGAAGCCACATTACCATCAGTAATTCTTGCAGAATGTTCCCAACCACCCGCTACAGGTAACCATTTAAAATTAATTTTCTGATTTTCAGTTTCGTACTTATCTTTTTCAAAAATAAGCCTAATACATGTGGGTGTGTGTATACAGATATATAGAGTATATACTCTCATTTCTCCTTCTTTCTCACACAAAAGTCAGTACACTTTGTATACTCTTCTGCACCTTCTTTTTTCTGTAATAAAAATAAGATTTTTCTCTAAAAAGTCAGTGAAAAGCTTTAAGCAAAGGGGTGGTATCATCATTTACATTTTGAAATTAGTTTGGTTACTTTATAAAGAATGGTCTGGAGCAGAACAGGATCTTAAATAAGGAGACCAGTGGAGAGGCCATGGAGTTCTGTGCAATGAAAAGGGAAAAAAGGAGTATTTTTCTCACCTAAAACATGGAGTTATAATAGATACATTTGTTAATGAACTACATGTGGGTGGTGAGGAAAAAGGAGGACTCAAAGGTGATTCCTTTATTTTAAATAACTGGGTGGACACACGGTAATGTCATTACTGAGATAGATAAGATTAGGGAGGAAAGGATTTGGGCTTTGGAGTGAAAAATCAAGAGTCACATTTTGAATGTGTTAGAGATATTTGTAAGACATCCAAGTGATGTTAAGCAGGAAGTTGGATCTTTGCATCTGATTGATGCTCAGAGGGGAGGTCTGGGGTGGATAAGGAATTTGGGAGGTGTCTGTATAAAGATATTTAAACCCGTTGGAGTTGATGAAGTTGCAAAGAGGAAGACTGTAGAAGAGAGGAAAAAGGGGTGCTGAAGACCAAGCTCTGAGGAATCCTATTATTTAGAGCTTGCGGTTGTGTGCTGCTGAGCCAATTTCGACTCATAGCAACCCTATAGGATAAGGTAAAACTGTCCCATAGGGTTTCCAAGAAGCAGCTGCTGGATTCAAATCGCCAAACTTTTAGTTAGCAGCCTGAGCTCTTAACCACTCTGCCACCAGGGCTCCATTTAGAGCTTAGGTAGAAGAAATAGGAAAGAAGACTAAGACGAGTGGCCAGTGAGGAATAAACAAGGAGAGTGATGACTCAGAAGGCAAGTGAGTGTTTCAAAGATGAAACATTTAACTGTATGGATGAAACATCCAACTGTGTGGAATGCTGTTGGAAGGAGGAATAACAGAGACTAAGAATCTATTGGATTATCAATTCCTTCCTTCCCCTGTGCCTGATACGATGTTCCCTCTGCCTGGCATGCTCACTCCGCTTTTTTACTTACTTAACTGCCTCAAATTCTTGGACACGCAGATCAAACATTACTTGCTCAGGTTCCTCTGCGATATAGTCTTACAGGTCTAATGACATTTTCTTCAAACCACTCAGGACAGTTGTAATTTCTCACTTATTTGTATTCTAACTTTATTCTCTCCCTCATTAGAATGTATACTCCTCCAGGGTTAATGCCTATTTTGCTTACTCTTCTCTGGGGTTTCCCTAGCATATGCCACACACATATTTGTCAAACAAAATGTAAATGTAGCAGCTGGTGGGCTCATGGGCTGGGAATCAGTAGCAACTAGCAAAAGCAGTAAGACATTGTTAAGTATGAGAGAAGTACAAATTGGGGATGGAGCTTGGAAAGAAATGGAGACTTTGACATGGAGGCCAACGCAGACTTGAGTTCCAGCCTGGACCCAAAAACAGTTTTTTATTTATCTGTACCCTTCCTTTCTTTCTTTCCTTCCTTCTCTTTCTTCCTTGTTTCACCTAATTTCTTTCTCCCGTTTTACTGGCCAGGCATCCTCTTCTCTATTCCAAACTGGCTCACCTCAAATATAATTATTTCATGTGGAAACAATGCGAATGGAATGATGAGACAGTGGGAAGTTAGTGAGGGAAGGGGAAGGTGATGGGAAATATATATATATATAAAATAAGTAAAGAAAAACAGTCAACTCATTAAACTAGGTGTTTTAAAATTACTAATCAAATAAAATAGTTGAAAATAAGACCACATGTAAAAGGGTGGGCTGTGAATCATTCAAATGAGTTTAAATCCCAGCTCCAGCATTAGTAGCCATATACCTTTTGAGCAAATTACTTTACCTCTTGAACTCAGTTTCCTTGGAACCTATGAAATGGGGATAGTAATAGTACCTACCTCAAACGGCTGCTCTCAGGATCGGTAAGATAGTCCATTTTATACTTTTAGCACCATGCCTGGCACAAGGTAAGGGCTCAGTGTTGGCAGTTATTTTTCTTTAAAACGAACTACTGTAGTGAGATGGCCTAAGGAGTAAATACTTGCCATATGAATGTAACTGTATCAAACTCAAAAGAAGAGGATCACTTCAAAGAATCGGAGAAATACGTACTGGCGCTTACATTTTGGGCAGCGCAAAGACCTTGCCTATATCATAGCACAGCGCCTTGCAGCGGTAGCTGTTTTACATTTTCCAAAAGTCAAAACCGAAAATGCTGATAAAAAATCTATTCTGAGAAAATTTTATTTCATCCGTGGGGGCCGCTGTTGAACGCAGATAGGGTCTGCAGCGAGGGAAGTAACCCTCCGGATGCCAGCAGTGCTCCTTCTAAGTGGCTCTCCGGCTGCGGACCCTGCTTCGGCCTCGCAGAGACGGGACCGGGTAGTGACTAATGGTAAAGGCAGCCTGCTATTCCTCGGCTGGTCCCTAGGGGACTTGTGGGACTAAATGTGGTGGTGCCAGCCTCACCTCGCGGCCTTCGCTAAGTCTTTATATTCTCAAGGATGGAATCCAAAATCTGCATCCCCGCTAACATAGAGGGGGCTACGTATCACAGCCGCGAGACAGCACCTGTACTGCACCACTCGCGGAGCTTCGAGAATCTCCAACCTTCCGCGCCCTGGCCGCTCACGGCCCCGCCTCCGCCCATTGGTCGCTCTGCGTTTCAAGATCAGCCTCCAGATTTGAAAGCTTCTTCCGGAAGCCGGTGGAGAGCTGACAGCGCAAGCAGGCGGCGCTCCTGGGCGGTGCTCTGTAGCTCCGCCCACTCCCAGTATTCAGTGCGGTGCTCTGACCGCCATTGTTTGAATTCGAAAAGGAAAATAACCGAGGTCTTGCTCGCTGGGCTGGTCGGCCTGGCACCGCAACGTGTGCAGGTGAGGAGGGGACCCAGGTGAGGATGCGGGGAAAGAAGTGGGTGACTTCGCACATACCGGGCCTTTAAATGGGAAACAGCTCTGGCAATCTCTGCATCTTCCGTCAGCACTCCTGGCGCCCCTGAGGTTACAGTCAGGGACTGGGTTGCGGAGCTATGAGGGCGCCAGGGTTTGCGCTGCACCCCATATGTTTAGCCTAATAGTTAAAAGCACAGACTGAACCCTACTACTTGACTCAGGAATTAAATCTCGTCTCCGCCTCATGTTAGCTGAGTGAGGTAGGGCAAGTTACTTAATCTCTGGACCTTAGTTTCCTCGTCTTTTGAGGGGGGCGGAGGGGCTGTAATAGTACTGTGATCTGCTTCTGGAAGGTCACAGCCTTGAAAACCCGATGGAGCAGTTCTGATCTGCACACAGAGGGTCGGCATGAGTCGGAATCGACTCCATGGCAAGTAACAACAATGACAGTACAGTACCTACTTTTTCAGGCTAGTGAAGATTAGATGATAATATGTGTAAAGTTGTTAGAAACAGTGTCTGACACATAGTAGGCATTGAGTGTTTGCAATAATTAATATTTTTATTGTTGTTATTGCTGCTTTTATTGTTGAGGTGCAGGCCTCTTGTCAAACCTAGTTTTCTGAATCTCTTAGGTGAGCGGTTTGCTTTGGTGGATGACATGGCTTCTGTTTTGGGGGAAGCCCAGTGGGGACCGTCACTTCTGCACTTTACTTCCAAGCTACTTCTGCCGTTGTTCGGTCTTGCACTTCTAGGGTTTTGCAGTGCCAGGGATACATCAATACACTTACTCATTTGATTTTTCCTGTGTATAAAGAACTCATCATATAGTTGTGAAAACTTTTTTCAGGCTTAATTTAATGGATCATATTCAGAAACCTACTAATTCAGTTACAGATACGGGTAGTCTCCGACTGAGGACGGGTTCCTTTCCGACGACTCCAGCTTAAGTCGATTCTGAGGTAAGTCGAATACCGTATTATTATTTTAGTTTTCATTATTATTGCCTTTTATTATCAGTATTCTTATAAATCCGATCTTTATTTGTCTTTGGGAGTTGGCCTGAGAATGATACATCAGCAAATTAATTGTATGTAGTGCATATTACAAACGATAAGATGTAAAAAAAAAAAAAAAAAAAAAGTGCGGTTCCTGGTAAACAGACTGCTGGTAAGAATACCGGTGAGTTGAGGACTACCTGTACTGCTATTTTCACCAAAGTCTTCAGTTATTGAGTCTCACTGAAGAGAAGATAAATGCAAAATGGAGTTTCCCAGTCATGGAAACAACTTTTCAAAATGAGAAATGAGATCTTAAACTCTGCTGTCGCTATAGGTAAAACACTAAAAGAGTAGGACCAATTTTTCTTTGAGTAGAGAGAATTTTATTTATCATTTAAGTCACTAGACAGGAAGTCTTTATCCCTACTTAAATATCTGTTAGGATTTCATGTAAGAGATGCAGAGTAGTATAAGGCTCTTGCCCTTAAGAAATTTCCAATCTAGCTGGAGAGGCCACACGTAAGTAGAAGTCAACTAAAAGTATAAGAAGTGACAGTACATCTCAACAATTTTAGAAATGTTAGGAGGCAGTTTCTTAGTTGAAAAATGAATGTATGAATAAGTACAAACTTCTTTAACCTTAATTTTTAGGAGGTACATAGATTCTTTTTAATGCAGCAATTTTGGAAAAGCTTTATCAGAAATCCTTTTTTTTTTCTCCAAAAACCAAAAATTAATTGAAGGCAAAGAATAAAACTTACCTTTCAGTTCTTTCAGTTTTCTGGGTATTTCCATGTAATCTGCATTATGAAATGTCAAGCTAGTATGTCAATATTTTTGTGAACTGTTTTCCAGTGTTCTAGATAAGTGATTATTTTTTACTCTGTAAGGTATCTTTTTTAAATTTTTCACCTATAAATTGCATGTTTGAAATGTTTTATGAAACTGCATTTAAGTAATTTTCCCATTTTCATTACATCACTAAGTATACAATAAAAATAGAAGCAATAAAGATATTAAACTTGTTTAATTGTTCGGTTGATCCTGTAGTCTACTGGGCTTTATTGAAGATAAGTATACAATTTCCCTTGGGCCTTTTGCAATTTAGGGGGAAAAAATAACTGAATACGCATTACTTTCTTCTCGAACAAAGGGCCCTAGTCTGGGCGTCACTGTTCTGGATACTTTCTAGTATTGTCAGAGATAAATTATAACATGGAGCTTTCTCTTTCTTCATGATATTGTGTACTGAGCAGATTCTCAGAAAAGATTTGAATGTTAATATTTTTTTCAATTAAGTTTACCCTTAAGTTTACATTTAAGTTTAGTCACTTGATATTTAATTCAGTTGTAATAGTTCACTGATACATTATTCCATATTCAATTTGAGACTATGTGTCAGGTATTGTTTTTGGATATGTTCCATATATTATTTCTCTTATTTTTTACTTACGTTATTTGGAAGAGGAAACCCTAGTGGCGTAATGGTTAAGAGCTATGGCTGCTAACTAAAAAGTCGGCAGTTTGAATCCACCAGGTGCTCCTTGAAACTCTATGGGGCAGTTCTACTCTGTGCTATAGGGTCGTTATGAGTCGTAATCGACTTGACATCAATGGGGTTTTTTTGGAAGAGTTTAATTAAAATTAATTTCCCAGATAACCAAGTTTGACTCCTAAATGCTAAAACATTACAAAGTCTGTGAAGTAATGTTCTTCAAAAGATGCTAAATTACTAAACATTCGGTTATAATTTTCTCTATGATCTCCTTGCTATTTGATTTCTCAGAGGATTTCAGGCAGAGATTGAATGTTTTTACTGTGTCACTTTACGGATTATGTTTACTCATAAAATCTCCTTAGATATAGATATGGGTTGGATCAAATAAATAATAGTGGCAGGTTAGGCTCAATATTATTTGATTCAGAATCTGTAAATCATTTGACTTTTTGTTCATTCCATGGGTCAGTGTGTTGTAGATGAACAGTTTAATCTTTTCCTTCACTGTAATTCTAGGTATATGAGGGATCATACGGCTTGGTTTACATGGTGACTTAACGAAGGTTGTCTGAAGAAGGTGCTATTATTCTTGCAGAATGGAATCTAATTTGAATCAAGATGGGGCACCTAGACCATCTTACGTTTTTAGTGCTGACCCGATTGAAAGGCCTTCGGAAATAAACTTTGATGGCATTAAGCTTGATCTCTCTCATGAATTTTCTTTAGTTGCTTCAAGCGCTGAGGTAAGTACAAGAAAAGTATTATATTGTTTATCATGATTGAGTGGAAAGATTTGCTTTCGGTTTTTTAGGGGTTGCCTAGAGGAGAGAGTCCTAAACGTTCTGGGTTTAAGGCACCATTGTGTGTCAGTAATTTTTTTGTGGTACCGTAGGCCAAAAGAAATATGTTGGGTTCTCTTTCAAGTAGTAGGTCCAGACAACTTAATAAGTATCTGTGCTTTAACTAGTAGCCAACTGAAAAAAAAATTAATTCTTAATTACAGTTATTTACTAATGGGATATGTTGTGCTGTGGGGGACTGCACAGCTTCTCAAACTTTGGGAACAGATTAGACACTGCCACTCTCATTTTCTGTTCCTCATTGATTTTTTTGTTGTTGTTGTGTGCTGTCGAGTCGATTCCAACTCAGCAACCCTATAGGAAAGAGTGTAACTGCCCCACAGGGTTTCCTAGGCTGTAATCTTTATGGGGGAGCAGATCACTAAAACTTTACTCTTGAGGAGCAGCTGGTGGGTTCAAACTGCAGATCTTTCAGTTAGCAGCCAAGTGCTCAACAATTGCACCACCAGGGCTCCTTTTTTGTGTGGTAGTTGCTTTTTTACCATAGCAGCTACTGAAAACCCAGCTTCACAGAGATGACGTCATCCACAGAAAGTGTGATCTAGTGTTCAAACTGAGCTACCTCAAGCTAATGGTTCATATGCTGTCTAACAGATGTCAAATATTGGCTATGATTCCCTCAAAAATATGAAATATCCTGCTGTGCCGCGAAGAATTGTGGGCCTTAATTAAAAAAAAAATACAGATTTTTAAAAATTATTCCGTAGAATTGAGACTGAGAAGTAAAACTCCTTCCACCACCCTTCCTATTACCACTATTATGTTTCCATGTGTCTTTGTAGATCTGGTCTTATGCATTTACTTATCAATTCATTTATATTCTACTTGTTATGTTTTACATGGTTAACTTTAGTGCTTTAGTGATATGGACTAAGCCTTTTTTTTTTTTTTTAAATTGTGCTTTAAGTGAAAGTTCACAATTCAAGTTAGTTCTCATACAAAAATTTATACACACATTGTTATGTGACCCTAGTTGCTCTCCCTATACTGTGACAGCACATTCCTGCTTTCCACCCCAGAATTCCCATGTCCATTCAACCAGCTCCTGACCCTCTCTGCCATCTCATCTCACCTCTGGACAGGAGTTGCCCATTTAGTCTCATGTATCTACTTGAGCTAAGAAGCACACTCTTGATGAGTATCATTTTATGTCCCATAGTCCAGTGTAATCTTTGTCTGAAGAGTTGGCCTTGGGAATGGTTTCAGTTTTGGGTTAACAGAGAGCTGGGGGGCCATGTCTTCTGGGGTCCCTCCAGTCTCAGTCAAACCATTAAGTCTGGACTTTTTACTATAATTTGAGTTTGCACCCCACTTTTCTCCTGCTCCTTCAGGGGGTCTCTGTTGTGTTCCTTGTCAGGGCGGTCGCTGGAGGTAGCCAGGCACCATCAAGTTCTTCTGGTCTCAGGCTGATGGAGTCTGGTTTATGTGGCCCTTTCTGTCTCTTGGGCTAGTATTTTCTTTGTGTCTTTGGTGTTCTTCAATCTCTTTTGCTCCAAGTAGGTTGGGACCAATTGATGCATCTTAGATGGCCCCTTACTAGCTTTTAAGATCCCAGATGCCACTCAACAAAGTGGGATGCAGAATATTTTCTTAATAAACTTTGTCATGACCAGTTGACCTAGATGTCCCCTGAAACCAGGGTCCCCAGACCTCCACTCCTGCTACTCTGTCCCTTGAAGTGTTTGGTTGTATTCAGGAAACTTCTTAGCTTTTGGTTTAGTCCAGTTGTGCTGACTTCCCTTGTAGGTATGGGTCTTGTTTCATTTTTTGCAGATGGATATCCAGTTATGCCAGCACCATTTGTTAAAGAGACTGTCTTTTCCCCAATTAACAGACTTTGGGCCTTAGTCAAATATCACCTGTTCATAGGTGGATGAATTTAGGTCTGGATTCTCAATTCTGTTCCATTGGCCTATGTATCTGTTGTTGTATCAGTGCCAGGCTGTTTTGACTATCGTGGCAATATAGTAGGTTCTAAAATCAGGTAGCGTGAGGCCTCCTTTATTCTTCTTCTTCAGTAATGCTTTATTTATCTGTGGCCTCTTGCCTTTCCATATGAAGTTGGTGATTTGTTTCTCCATCTCTTTAAAAAGTGCCGTTGGAATTTGGATCGGGATTGCATTGTATCTATAGATCACTTTGGGTAGAATAGACATTTTCACAATGTTGAGTCTTTCTATGCATGAGCAAGGTATGTTTTTCCACTTACGTAGGTCTCTTTTGGTTTCTTGCAGTAGTGTTTTGTAGTTCTCTTTGTATAGGTCTTTTATATCTGTGGTTAGATTTATTCCTAAATGTCTTCTTGGGGGCTATTGTAAATGGCATTGATTTGGTGATTTCCTCTTGGACATTCTCTTTGTTGGTGTGGAGGAATCCAACTGATTTTTGTATTTTTATCTTGTATCCTGATTCTTTGCTGTGATTTTCTATGAGTTCCAGTAGTTTTCTTGTGGATTCTTTGGGGTTTTCTGTGTATAATATCATATCATCTGTAAATAGAGATATTTTTACTTCTTCCTTACCAATTTGGATGCCATTTATTTCTTTTTCCGGCCTAATTGCTCTGGCTAGGACCTCCAGCACAAAGTTGAATAAAAGTTGATAAAGGACATCCTTGATAAAATAAATGTTGATAAAGGACATCCTTGATAAAATAAATGTTGATAAAGGACGTCCTTGCCTGGTTCCCATTCTCAAGGGGAACGCTTTCAGACTCTCCATTTGGGATGATGTTGGCTGTTGGCTTTGTATACATGCCCTTAGTTATGTTGAGGAATTCCTCCTCTATTCCTATTTGGCTGAGAGTTTTTATCATGAACGGTGTTGAACTTTGTCAAATGCCTTTTCTGCATCGATTGATAAGATCATGTGGTTCTTGTCTTTTGTTTTATTTATGTGATGGATTACGTTGATTATTTTTCTAATGTTGAAACATCCCTGCGTACCTGGTATAAATCCCACTTGATCATGGTGAATTATTTTTTTGATATGTTGTTGAAATCTTTTGGCTAGAATTTTGTTGAGGGTTTTTGTGTCTATATTCATGAGGGATATTGGTCTGTACTTTTCTTGTTTTGTGGTGTCTTTACCTGGTTTTGGTATCAGGGTTATGCTGGCTTCGTAGAATGAGTTTGGGAGTATTCCATCCTTTTCTAGGCTCTGAAATACCTTTAGTAGTAGTGGTGTTAACTCTTCTCTGAAAGTTTGGTAGAAGTTTCCAGTGAAGCCATCTGGGCCAGGGCTTTTTTTTGTTGGGAGTTTTTTAATTACCTTTTCGATCTCTTCTTTTGTTATGCGTTTATTTAGTTGTTCTCCCTCTGTTTGTGTTAGTTTAGGTAGGTAGTGAGTTTCTAGAAATTTGTCCTTTGCCTCTAGGTTTTCAGATTTGTTACAGTTCAGTTTTTCATAGTATTCTGTTATGATTCTTTTAATTTCAGTTAGGTCTGTTGTGATATCCCTTATCTTATTTCTTTTACGGGTTATTTGCCTCCTCTCCTGTTTTTCTTTTGTCAGTTTAGCCAACGGTTTAGCAATTTTGTTGATCTTTTCAAAGAACCAGCTTTTGGTCTTGTTAACTCTTTCAATTGTTTTTCTGTTCCCTAGTTCATTTGATTCTGCTCTTAATTCTTATTATTTCCTTTCTTCTGGCACCTGAGGGCTTCTTTTGCTGCTCTCTTCCTACTTGTTCCAGTTGTAGGGTTAATGTTTTGATTATGGCCCCTTCTTCTTTTTGAATGTGTGCATTTATTGCTGTAAACTGACCTCTGAGCACTGCTTTTGCTGTGTCCGAACGGTTCTGGTATGATGTGTTTTCATTCTCATTAGATTCTGTGAATTTCTTTATTCCATCCTTAATTTCTTCTATAACCCAGTAGTTTTTGAACAAGGTGTTCAGTTTCTGTGCGTTTGATTTTTTTTCCTTGCTTTTTCTGTTATTGATTTCTACTTTTATGGCTTTATGGTCAGAAAAGATGCTTTGTAATACTTCGATGTTTTTGATTCTGTTAAGGCTTGTCTTTGGCCTAATATGTGATCTGTTCTGGAGAAGTTCCATGTGCATTGGAAAAGAAAGTATACTTGGCTGCTGTTGGGTGGAGTGTTCTGTATATGTCTATGAGATCAAGTTGGTTGATTGTAGCATTTAGCTCTTCCATGTCTTTATTGAGCTTCTTTCTGGACGTTCTGTCCTTAACTGAAAGTGATGTGTTAAACTCTCCTATTATTATTGTGGAGCTGTCTATCTCCCTTTTCAATGCTGTTAGAGTTTGTTTTATGTATTTTGGAGCCCTGTTGTAGTGTGTGTAAATATTTATTATGGTTATGTCCTCTTGGTATATTAATCATTTAATCATTTTATAGTGTCCTTCCTTATCCTTTGTGGTGGATTTTACTTTAAAGTCTGTTTTGTCAGAGATTAATATTGCCATTCCTGCTCTTTTTTGAGTATTGTTTGCTTGATATATTTTTTCCATCCTTTGAGTTTTAGTTTGTTTGTGTCTTTAAGTCTAAGGTGTGTCTCTTGTAGGAGCATATAGATGGATTGTGTTTTTTTTATCCAATCTACCACTCTCTGTCTCTTTATTGGTGCATTTAGTCCATTTACATTCAGCGTAATTATTGATAAGTATGAGTTTAGTGCTGTCATTTTGATGTCTTGTTTTGTGTGTCGTTCACAGTTTCCTTGTTCCACTTAATTTTCTGTGCTGAGTTGTTTTTCTTTTCATCTTTTTTAGTGTTGTTGATTTTGTATTTGCCGAGTCTGTTTTTCATTTACGTGTGTAGGATTGTTAGTTTCCTTTGTGGTTACTTTAATATTTACCCCTGTTTTTCTAAGTTTAAACCACTCTTTTATTTCCTTATATTGCCTTGACTTCCTCTGCATA